AATCGATTTGCATGCAAACTGTGAGAACAGCCTGTTTGTTTTGCCAGCTCTACCGACCGTTGTTACCAACTTCTTTTCACCTTTTGGCAAGTAACCATATGGGTATACGCATTTATCGACAAAATTTCACTTAGTTACTGTATATACTATTTACATATGGTCCAAACATACATATGTACAAGAGCGAGTATGTACATATGTTATTAAATATAAAATATAGTCCGCACAGTTAAATGTCGGGAAGGTCCACGCAGCGTCGAATTCAATCTTACACACGAATACGTAAACATTTATGTTTATGTGAAGGTCAATGACCTATGTATTTCGCCTCTTCAGAATGTGCGGGTAAGAAGTCGTGGATGGTCTATTTAACTTAAAGAAGCAGAAATTTAGATCAATTAAAGGCTTTTAAGTATCACTTAACCTTAAATAGTAATTGACGAAAACTAATTGTAAGCCCCAGGCTTTGCAATTATAATTTTATGTTTAATGATAGCTCTTGAGGCAATTTTTAGGTTCCATATACATATAAAGTATGTTGAATTGGCGCTCTAGTATTTCGAAATATTTTTGAATATATTCTGACCATTGCCCCAGCAACAAAGCCAAAAAGGCTCAGAGCAAAAGCATTCATCTTTCAATAATACACCGTTTCGTTTGTCCTCGATTTCAAAAAAAACTGGCCACATGAAATACGCGGATTTAATGCATCTTATATACATTATGATATATACAAGTAGACTCATGTTTGCACTCGCAATACTGTGGCTTTGTGCCTGCTAGTTTTGACTTCCTACTCTGCAGGCTCTCATTGTGGAGCGCGGCGGCAAGTTTCATTTTTTGTAACTAATAATTTATGCTTTGATTTCATTTTTGCATTTCAGCGCCTCAATTACTATTTTTTTACTTTTGTACTTCCTGTATTGCCTTTTCTGACACAAAAAAAGCATGAACCAAACCGACTGTGACCGACCGACATCTTTGCTTTAGATTCGTTGCGCCTTTTTGCCGTGTCGCTCTTGGAGTTGCCGCGGCGTTGCCATGTAGGGATGCGTTGGGTTTTGTGTCCATTACCGGTATTGTTGTTGCTTGTTTGTTTGCATTTGTTTACATTAGTTACAAACTGTGTTTTTGTTCGCCACACTTTTTTGTGTTCTTGTTGTTTTTATATGTAGCTGAAGGCTTTCATTTCCACATAAATATGCATTCACACATGTGCATGCATATATGCACGACGCACCTCTACATGTGAAGCAAGGTTGGTTTTGGCAGCGCTCTGCAAATGCGAGCATAAATGTGTGTGTATGTATGTGCAACGAATATATAATATAACGGTGTGTCTATATGAGCAAACGAACTTACCCGCCCAACCGCATATCTACCATAACGCCCATTTTGCGCATGAGAACATTTCAAGTTGCGGAAGCAATTGCGCGTGCTGAAGTTTTCGAATATTCCTTGACAGGCACGGCTCTCCAGAACTCAACTGAACTCAAAGCAAATATTGCAAAGCAGCGCATACTTGGCCACGCCGACTCCATTCGACCCGAGCCGACAGGCGCTGACAATCGCCAAATCAACGTCAACGTTCGTGTTGTGGGCGACAGAGCGTAAGCAAAGCGCAAAGGGTTCTCACTCTCACACAAACATACATATGTATATGTAAGTATGTATTTGCAATGTAGTCGTCATTGACGCCAGCGCTTTGCAGCAGCAACTCATTCACATACATACAATGGATTGTGACTATTTCAGCGTTGCATCGCTCTTGTCTGTCATACAGACGTACACACATGTGTGTAAGTGTGTTTGTACATGCATATTTGCGCCCATTTCAAAGGAGCTTTTGTCAAAGGATTTAAAAAAGTGTGAAGCGGCTTTGCGCAACCAGTCGTCGTGTGAGATAAAGTTAAGCAAACTTCAATGGAATCAACAAAGGCAACAACAGCAACAGCATCATCAATAGCCGTGCAACCGCCCAGCCCGCTTGTTGGCTGTATTTTTAATGGATTTTGTGTTTCTTTTATTTTCATTTCAGCATCCTTGTATGTTTGTATGTATGTGTATACTTCGCATAATATTTATTCCCCTGACGTCACAATAAATTCTCACTTTTAATCCCTGTTTAAACACGCCTTAACGTTCAGTAAATTCCAAAAACGTGTCAAAGCCATTTAGTCGATGTTTCAAGTGGCCTTTTCTCTTTTTCAATTTATGTACGAGTACATATTAACTGCTCAACTCTATTGTATATCGAGGAGTTAAAAATGTATTCACTCACTTGCGCACTCGCAGACTCAGAATGGAAAATGATACAGTATCACGGCCCCTTCAATTCTATGCAAAATATATGAACTTGTAGGTTTTACATATCCACATACATACAAGTCGTATGTATATATGTATATTCATATGTATGTACGCTAAGAAGTCATTGTGATGAAGGTTAATCTATGTTTAGTGCTTTAGGTAATGAGTCAAATTTTTAAATTTCCGAGAAGTGATGTATGTAAATTGTAAGCTATAATAATGATAGTGGAAAATATAAAGTTTGACCCTTTTTTAAATTTAGACCTTTTTCTGAGCAAAAGAGGCAATTGACAAAAAGAAGCAAGCAATATACCGGTCAGCTGATAAGAGTTTTCTGTGCGAGCATTTGAATAATAATATTTTGCGATCCTTAACTTGCCTAGCTTTGAATATTTGTGCATATACATATGTATGTACATACTCGTATTTAACCTTTCACCTCTTTTTATATCATTACCAATCGTTGAGCTCAATAAATAAATAAATATCAGTAATATATTTAATAGACGTCGTAGGTCACCGAAATTTCAATCTTGAACTGATTGTTCTTTCAAAAGATAAAAGGCCCTAGCATTGTACTATAATTCCCATTTTAACGAATACTTTTTATATATAAGTGTACACCATATAGAAGTACACTTATTGCTTAATTTATAATAACTAAATTATTCATTCCGTTTCCATGGCATCTGAATCCACGCAACCGGAACGAACCCATACTTATACCCGCCCAAGAACTGTAAGCTCGGCAGTATTCTTCTAAAACTATTTGAGGTTTATTTATTCCCAATATTAACTGCGAATTTTATTGAAATCAAATATAGCTGAAAATATGCTACCTTGCACTCATTTCAAATTATATCACACGAGCTAAGTGTTTTTAAACCGACTGAACCTTTTCCCTGAAAAGGTTATCAACGATAAGAGCAATGGGCAGCCTGTCACCAAAATCAGCATTCTACACGAGAATCCTTAAAATACCTATTAATTTTAATGTCATTACTATGTATAGATGTGCGTAAATACAGCTTTACACAGCCATACAATAGCACTGCCAGGAAGGATCTTTGTTTGCCCAGTACATACAATGAACTTTGCCTTTCCGACTGGTTGCTGTTCACCTGCAGTAAACACCTGCTGCCGAAAATTGCAATTTCATATATTTAAAGTGCAATTAGTGCGGCGAAGTGCTCGCAAACTACAACCTCACAGACCCATGCATACATACACACAAACACAAACAGTTCCTTAGGTAGTTCTAACGAAGAATGACCGGCGAGTATTTGTTTGTTTACTTTAGGCAACGTGGATTTCCCAAAATGTATAGCATTTGTATTCATAAAGCATGAAAAATTGCATATCTAATCCCTGTAGGGTCATTATAAATTTCATTTTAAATGAAAACAAAAAACTCTTGTACCTTACGATGAAAAATTTTACACTTGTTTAACAGTAGATTTTGGTGGTAAGTACTAAATTTAGACACTTTATACGAGGTGACATCAAATAAACGCCAACGAAACGTTCACCTGAAACTACTAACATACAAATATACATATGTATATATTACATGTATATATGTACATATGTATACATACATACTATATACGAAACAAGTGACGAAAAATCGGTGAACAGAGTTCGTATAAGGGAGAGCAACTCGCTGAGCGATCCGTGAGAAAACCTGTTTGCGCACCTGCAACTGGTCTCTCAGACTCGGCGATTGGTAGTCGAATGCTAACGGCGTTAGAGCTTGCTAAGTAACAGAACAGAGGCAAAGTAGCTGAGAGTGGTTTATGTGTGTGTTTATGCGCGGGTGCGCACAACTAGTTGAATGTACACACATATAAGAATGTATTAAAAAGTTAATTATGTGTACTATTTAATGGGTGATTTCATAGACTCATATGTATGCATTTATAAATACTTAGCATTATACGGGCTTGGTTCGAAATTTGCTAGATTAGAAGTTAAGTCGCAATTAACTTTCACTACGATAACACAGCCCATCCTCAACGAAAGTTAGCAATTTCAGGGGAATGAAAGCTTCTTAAGCTTAGTCAATTGCTGTCTTACTTGTCTGTGCAAATGTTTGTAAACTATACACACTTCCATACATACATACATACATGCACGAAGCGTTTAATGCTCGCGGACATGCGAACCCAGCACCAAAGTGGGACAGTCCCTTCGTACCCCCTAAGAAGGACAATGGGAATTTGGGTTTTGCGAATCGAAAAAATGAAAACTAAAAATTACGAAGTTATTTACTAATGCTTTTATGTACATTTGTACATACATACATATGTATGTGTATGTATTGTCATAATTATTGTTACGCTTGAGACATTGCATATGGAAAATAAGAGGCACTAAAGTTTAATTAACACTGTCTCTCTGACCCCTATTTGCCTTCTCATCTAAATTTGCTTAATTTATTCAAAAGAGTCACCAGCCACATTGTTCTTATTGGCAATATAAACAGTCCAGTAAACGCCAGTAGTTTTTATAATAGACATTTTTATCTGGGTCATCCACGCATTGGGAAACATTAGGACGAACGCTAGTACTGATATTGGAGAGCAGTTTTTAGTACAGTTCTTGCTATAAAAAACATGATTGCTTGTATGCTTAACGAACGTCTCTTGTTATCCTGAAAAAATTTAAATTTTTCAAAGAAATGAGCTTACCTGTTGGTAGGATGGCGTTGTTCTCACGACGCCAAGTAATTGACGGCGTCGGATACCCGCTGGCATAGCATTCCATCTGCACTTCACTGCCTTCGCTCGCCACTATCGATTGTGTTGAATTGTCGGAGATGACGGGTGGACGACGAACGGAAAGCTTCACATTGGCACTGACTTTATGTACGACAGAAATTACCACTTGACAGGTGTATGTACCTGCATCGGTCTCCTGGATGTCCTTGATTTGCAGTTTATATGTTGAGGAATTAGGATCATAACGTAGAGAAAATCGTGAATCTTTAATAACCAACGTTGAGGCGGTCGACAAGAAGACAGGATCGGCATCCGTCTTTGACCACAGTACTTGATAGTCACTCGCGTACTGTACCGAGCAATCGAATTCGACCGTGCCACCAATATCCTTAATTTGTTCTTGTGTAATATACGAAATTGTTGGAGTACGCTGCGCTTGCGCACTGCCTGCCAATAGCGCCAATAAGCATACCATAATGGCGACAAAGGAGGTGAACGATGAGGACATGGTGTTGGCCATGAAGTTGGCTGTCGATCGCTGTTTTTTTGACAACAGGCTCATTGCAATAAAATGCTTCTTAGTATAATTTGCGCACTGACGATTTTCACGAAATTTAATAAACTTTTTCTGGAAAAAATTTACGCACCACACCCTAAAATAACTTTATGAGTGAGTATATACTATATGTATATATATTACAAAGTAGTTTACTATATGAATAAATAACTTTCGACGAATACTCTTTCGTTGGCTAGCTGATTGGCTTATTTGCTGCTTCTTTCTGCTCGTAGCTTTTTTAACTGTTGCCTCTGCTTCGTTTTAGTGAATTTCAGAGTCTGGCTTTGGCGATCACTTTGCATCCATTCGAATTACACACGAAGTCCGAATACACTTAAAGCGTATAAATGAATAATACTCAGTGCAATTTTCTTGCGAGACCTACATACACTTGGTTGTTGTTGTTGGTTGCTTATGCTTATAGTCTCTCTTTATTTGCTGTATTCCATCTACTTCACATTCGGATGCTGACGGTTTTCATCTTAGCTTTAAACCACAGTTCTTTCGGACACAACAAAAATAAGTACAACAACACTATAGATATATATTTTCTTTAGCCTCTTGTTTATTGCTCACTTTACTATTTGTGATGGCTATTTCGTTGCTTTTGTTACTATTTATCAAATAAAAACGAGAAGAAAGCAACGCACAAAAGCACACACTCACACACGATTGTTCGTTTAAGCCCAGTTTAAAACTCAGAAAATAACACCGTTCGAAAACACCGTTCACTGCTCGAATAGTACGTCCACAAGCTTTGACTGTTGCACAGCGAATGATATAAAACACAGCCGTAGATACAAATTGGCGCTCGTTCGCTGACTGTGGTGGTGTGTACTCGTTCTTTTGTTCGTTAACTTTTCAAAAATTACACCAATAAAGATGGCGCGGAGCGTAAGAGATTGCACTTGTATGGTTGGTGAGTTTCCCGTTCGCTGATGAGTGCAGGTTCAAATGTGTTGGTGTTGGTAAATACGCGAGAAAAGTAATCGCGACTTGCTGCCAACAAATCGGATATTTAAGCCACAAAAGACAACCAACCATTGTTAAGGTGGTCATAATAAAATTCCAAAGTCAAAGACAACACAGAGTTGTAGCTGAATCTTGGCATACAAATTCTTGGAATATGCTTATATTAATAAATACTATTTGATTAAAAGGAGGCCCTTTTAGGTCTTAATGAAATAGCAAATTTCTAAATTCTGAAAATCATCAAAGAAAACGTATGCTATTTGTTAAGTTTTATTCAAATTTAAGATTGACCAAGAATGTTCACGTGAGATTTTATTTGGATACGAACCGGTATAAGTCACCGGAATGTTTCCACTTACGCCTTGGCTTTAAGTAACTTCCGTTGCCAATGCAACCACAACCATATACCAATATCAGATGAATATTTCTCTTCATATTTTTGAACAATTTGAATTTTTTTTTATGGTTGAATCTTAGTATACTAACTTCTGTGTTCTTATGTTGCCTAAATGTTAACCTTTTCATTATGAATACAGCTATTAGTGATTCATAGTGGAGGACTTGAAGAGGTATTGGTTTATGGATCAACACAAAGTTTATACTTGTACATCTACATACATATATTATTATTTCAAAACAACAAATATATTTAATTTATTGCTTTCAAGTACGAAACATGTTGTATTTTTTTTCATAATTAGTTTACGACTGATCAGCCTGTTGCTTAGCTCTGACTGATCTTTCAACAATTGCGAAACAGGCAACTGCCGCTATCAGGAGCAGGATTAGTACACCCATTTGGATATATAAACTGGCATATTTCGAATATAGATATGCCAGTGCACACCCAAGACACTATAAGTAGGTAGAGAAATTTGAATATATTGCTTTTAGGAGCCCTTGGTCACTTATATTTACCTGAAAAAATTTATAAATTCCGAATCCGGCGGTCGATTCGGCAACAAAAGCACCAGCCAACATACTGTAAATATGAACGGTATAAAACGCTGCTCCCAAACCATAGAGAAAACTGCAAGTTATTGCCAAATAAAAATTGGGAGGGTCAATGATGGATACAGCTTGGTTTTCGCCAAAGGACGATTCATTGGGGATATTGAGAAAGATGATTATGAATGTAATTAAATGGAATACACCTGCTAAATACATAAATACATCACGACCCCAACGAATGGTCATATCGCCCAGAATAGCAAAGAACAGTGATCCCAAAAATCCTCCACAACCTTTCAATATGTAACCAGTAAAGGATAATTCATCCGGTTGCATATTTAAACTTTGTGTGAACGACATGGCAGGGCCATAAACTCCGTTATAGAACGCTTGTACTAATCCTAATGAAAACATAGCAAATTATTAAACATAAATATGAAAATGTCCATAGTATAGAATCTCTCTTTTTCTTACCTGTGTAAACGAAGAGAACTACCAGTAGTAACATATCTCTTTCGAGAAGAAGCATAATGTTATCCCGAATGGTAACGAATGCAGCGGAACAACTGTTATGTGTTTCCTTGTCTATGGATTGGTTGCTTTGCGGCAAGCGCAAAAAGAACAACATTACCAGACCAATTATGCAAATAAATGTTAATACTGACATAATTATATAACGGTCCATATCTTCAATCTCTTCAACATTGGCATACTTGAAATACAACAAGATAGCCGATATCATGTAGCTCGCTTGTTGGAACGAAAGGAATATTCCCGAATTCCTCGTAACGCTGCTATCCTCACTATTTCTTGCAATATAATTACCCTGTGCAATATATATAATTGCAGAACCAACACCAAGAGTTATATTTAACGAATACAGCAGCCATTCGAAGGGGTGGTAGAAATGCACGATAAATAGTCTGGAATATAATGAGAAAGGTTAGCAAAACAAATCGCAAAGTTATGTTTGTATAATCCGGTGACTTACAAATAGGTTACGGTTCCAATAACCAGTGACCATCGTGGACCAACTACTGCAACGAGGGGTGGTACGAACCAACAAGTAGCCGCAAAAACGAAATAATATATGCCCAGACTGGTAAAAGCGCTGTTTTCGAAACTATGCTCTTTTTGATGCTCTGTGCGTAGAATTTTTTTCTGCAATTTCAAAATTACATATACATATCATTATTTTAACGATTTTCTGTAATATATTAAGTTTACCTGAAGGCTGGCAGTTGTTTGAAATGCAAAGAAAATTGTGAAAAACGCCAAGCTCATAAACAAAATATTTATTAATTTTGAATCCATCTTGATTTTATACAATTATAAAGCTCCAAAGATATGTGTGTAAACAAAAGTCAAAATTGCTTTGAACAACTCTAACAAACGCAAATAATTTTTTTGAATACGACAAACAAATCAATTGTTGCTGCGATATGGGAATCATGGAGATGGTTAATTTAATGTTTAGCAATATTTATAAAACCGTCAAATCGCATAAATAATTTGATGGTATTTTTACAACAGTCGGCAACATAGCACATATGTATTCTGCCGCTACAATAACAACATTAATTTGGTGAAGCTAAGAATTGATGAAAAGAAAAGTTAAATGTTAATTGTTTCTACTTTGTGTTAATCCACTCTATGAAAATTGTTACTATATCAGCGAGCGCAACAGCAACCCTATACGAAACGTCAGCTTTGGTAATAACAATTTTCTTTGTTGTGTTCCTATTCTCAATTTTCAATCCTTAAGTACCAGAATCTTTTTGTAACAGCAAAAATTTAAACTAAATAGTTTCCAAAAAGTTAATGTTTGTTTAAATCTAAAACATGTCTGCTGTCGAACGTTTCGATGTAGAAAGAGTAGCAAAAATATTTCAGGATTGTTTGCATGAGAACGATGATGTGTTGTTGGATTCATATTTAGAGGCATATGAAGAAATCAATAAGTATGTAAACGTAAAATAACTATTAGTAGCCATAGTGAAATAATAAACATTTTTTTAGATTTTTCCATTTAATGGGTTCAGTATTCGGATTTGTTAGTAGTGATGTGCGAAGTAAAATCGATATACTTTGTGAATACAGGCGAAAGGAATCAACTGGTGAACGGTTCGTGACAATTAAGACAATGATAACCTATGAAAAGGAAGAGGAACTTCTTAAGGATAACAGTTACGTTTCCGGATCAAGGACACTTCTACGATTGCACAGGGGATTGGGTGAGTTAGTATTGACTGTGTTGCAAATGAGCATAACCTACACGTAAGCAAAATGTAAATGCAGGAGTAATAGAAGTTATTCATATACATATACTTCTCATCTTATCGTATCGTTATACAAAAACAAGATGTGATTTATAAGTGCTTTTAGTGCATTTAGTTTGTAGTTGTTCTACTATTTACCTATTATTAAAAGGGCACCCTTATCTTATCTTACAATTGGACTTGATGCTACCATGTATCAACTGTTTCTTTTACAATTATTTTTCAGAATTCATATACGAGTTTCTAAAACGGTTGTCTGAATTAAATGAATGTGATAGGACACATTCTTGCTGCAAGAATGCATATAATGACACGTTAGCGAAACATCATCCCTGGGTGGTCCGAAAAGGAGCTGTGGTTGCTATGTATGCGCTGCCTACACAGGGAGAATTGCTGAAACGTGTTTGTATAAACGTGTCACGTGCGATAGAGGTGCTCCCTGAAATGCTAAAACATACAAAATCGGTATACGATCGTATTGAACTGCTTTATACCGCTCATGATTTGCACGATTTACCCTAAACTATCCATAGTTATATAAGCTAAAGTAATAGATTTTTTAAATATTTTGCGAAGTCAAATAGGGCATTCCAAAAGGAGGCAATGTGAATTTTCCAAAAGTAAATCAAGGTTCCCTTTTGAAACAGTATACATTTGAGTAAATTATTTGCTCGATACTATAAAAAATTGTATTCAATTAGTGCATAGGCTTAATGTTTAATTAACAAATTTATAAAAACAATGATAATTAATGTTCTACAATTTTTAAAATTTAATGCAACTGATAATAAATTGATTTTACTAGCCTACTCTTTTTTAGTAAGGTGTATTCTTTTTAGATTTTTTATTTTTAATTTTTAATCCACTTGAGCAACTAAGTAATACTCCATCTTCTTTGCCTGGATTCTCCGTGGCCCAAAAAGTAACAAAACCCGACTCTCCGCCTGTCACAAGTGCTCCACTCTATAGGTGTATTAAAAAATTAAATCACAAAAGTTGAAATAGCTAACATCATACTAATTCACCTTTTTGTCAAATACGCTCGCCCGGACAAGTTGTTTATTACCAATGAAATCTGCCACTGGCAGCAAATTCTTATTTAAACGAAGAGTACGCAACACTTCACTAAAATATAAAATTATAAATAAATAATATTTAAATATTATATTTGCAATAATTAAAAAAAGTTGTAATAGTGCCTTAATATTAAGACTAACCCATTGTTTGTTGTACCAGTTAAAAGCAATAAGTCGCCATTCTCGGTACTATGCGCATCAACGACATTGCAATTAAACTCGTTTTTTCTCTTTGTCGCTGCTGTAATTTGACACCGATCAAATTTCGATACTATATCGCCTTCATCAGCGAAGTACACATGAAAATCATTTGTGTGTGTGATACAAGATATTACATCTTGTTCATAAATATTTTTATGCCTAAAGTATAAAAATAATTATAAAATATAGGAATAGTTATAAATTGTTTACACCAGTTTCTCTTCACTTACCAATTCAGTTTTTGTACACTGCATTCCGTATTAATGGTTGTTGTTAAAGCGTCGTCCTCAGTCGCCTCTTTGATGTCAAATACGTTGATAAGACCATCAGTAGATCCGGAGCATAAAATATCAGGGTTTTTATAGTGAAAACGTAATGAAGTTATATCATCTTCATGGCTTTCGAAATAGGTACCGAGTTGTTGACGCTGTCGAACATCATAGAATAATAAACAAACGTCGCCCTGGCGCTGTTGAGTACCAGTGCAAATAATGCGTCCGTTTGAATTGCTGTCAAAACAATTTATGGCTTTACGCGAAATCCTCAAATTTCTTCTACCGAAGCTAGAAAAACTTTGTGTACACTCGATATTCTCCTCGAAACGTGCTTGTTCCCTTTGCGTGCGTAAGTCGTACAGACGTACGATTCCATTGCTTTCTCCAACTAACAAGCAATTGGGAGTATCATCTAAAAAACGTACACCGCATATACCTACACGATCATTTGTTCTCGGTGTTGATACGGTGGCGACTGAAGAAATTTGCAAAGCACGTTCGGCGTTAACGTCAAAGATATGTACAACAGCGCTTGATAAGCCAGCTACAATGCGCGTAAAACCACTGTATAATATATTTATATAAATCCCACAAAACTAATAAATGTACTATACTACTATACAAATTATACCTATCAGCTGCTAAATTAAGAACATAGTCTCTATTTAATGACACCGCCGATTCATCTTCGATTCTAAATTTGACTTTGAACAGGCCTTCCAGTTCTTCTCGGCTACACGTGTCCTCGTCAACAATCAAAGCCGTGGAGACTCCAGATTCATCATGGTAACTACCAGAAGGGGAAGGGCAGACTTCGTCTATAAGTAACAAGAATTTATTAATATAAATGCTAACGTTTATATCAAATTGTATTCCCACCTTGAGAACTTAATTTACCTTTCATTTGTTTTGATATTTAACCAACGCAAAATGTAGTAGATTAAAGATTCTGTAGAGAGTTGCTGGTATTGTACCATAAAAACAGATGGAATTACTGGTGATGCCAGATGGCCTGTTTTATTTTTTTTTTTATCAATATTAAAACTTCACACGGCATCTCGATAGCTTTATGGCAAATTAGCATTAAACATTTGCTTCGCTTTGCGTCAGACATTTGTTTTGACAGAATAATTGGATGTGCGGTTTTGTATGAGTACCGCATAAAAAGTTTTCGACACGAAGCCAAGCAAAATATTGGGCAACTCTGATCTTTTTACGCTATGCCAAGCAACGTCATTTTGATTAAAGAGAGACACTAATCAAAGCGTTAATTGTGGCATACCCTTATCGCTCAAACAATCACCGACGCAAAATCGTGGACCGAACCAGCTGGTACGACGTGTTTTATGAGAGCTCAATGTAAATGAACACTCACCACTGCTTCTACCGTCCACTTTTACAGAAAGTGAAAAATCGTGTATATAAATAGAACAATGGCAACATTGGTGAAATGGAAACAAAAGAGAACAACTGCTTTCTGCGTTGCAACCACGGGCATAACTTTTGACAAATTTGATTTGATACGGGTGGTATGCTGGAAAGGGAGGAATGTCGTTGACTGTTTGAGCTATTAATCTTATGTCCTTCTTTGTTTCAGTATGAGCCAGAGATAAAGAGATGCCCAACTCATCTCTCACTGGAAATGAGATGTAGTTGCTAAACTCCAAAACCTACTGAACTTGGGCAACTGTCAAAATTCAGGAAATCTGACGTTTAGCAATTGGAAAAAGAGGGACGGCCAGATTGAAATCCTATAGGAAATTATATGAACAGAGAGATTTGTGGCTGCTGTTGAAGATCAATGATATATGTGATGAAATCTTTTGTGATGCCATTTTTAGTAGTATTATTTTCAATTAAAAATTATACAATAAAAAACAATTATTAATTGAAAGCTAATACATTTATTCATTTGATTAAGTATTGAAAGTTTAAAAATCAATTGTTTTAATATATTACAAAATCACAAAAAAGAGTTTAAATAGTTATGCATATGTTGAACGGATACATGTATAATAATATTTAATCTTAATAAATGTTAAGTATTTTGTTTAAAATTCCCAAAAATTTTTATTTCATCCGATCTGACTACAATGGAAAATGTTATAAAAAACGCTAGTTTTGAGGCGCTCTCACACTGGAATAAGATGGGCATCCCTTTTTCTCTGGTAATGGGCCTTTATTGTTATCACTGTAGCCAGTGGAGACTGCGTATTACTTAATACCCCTGATACGCCTTTCAACTCCACTCCTACAAACTTAATATTACTCAAAAAGTGTTTTTGTAGGACTAGTAGATTGTATCGACTCTTTATGTTCGCAACATTTCCACGGTCCCCTATTTTATTTTAATGTTTCCAAATTGTAGCTTGTTTTTTTACTTTTCTATGGATTTGTACATAATAACTTATTAAAATAGTTTGAAATTATAAAAAAAAATAGTTCTTTTTACCCTTTTCCGTTTTCGATTAATATTTTTACTAAATAAATGCATTAATATTTAACTCCAACTGCTTGTGAGCAGTCGTAATTTTTTGATACTCTAGCCAAACCCACTTCCCAAACGATCTTATCAAGATAACAGATGCCCAAACAAAAATATTTCCTACTTCAATTGCAATTGATGGGTTGGCGGGTTGGCATAACTGTTGTCTGCATGCAGCGTAAGTAATTATACCTGCGTATTGTTATTATTGCTATATATGTATATAATTTTAGGAATGTGTAAAATAAACTTAAGTCGACTGAAACGAAGATAGTAAATTTAATTTCTAGTAGGAAGCATCTGTATCTTCAAGCGAAAATATCGTCCCAAACAGATCCCGCACATCTGCGAAATTCAATGTTTTTTTTTTACATATTTAATAAAGTATAATTATATAAAATGAATTCACAAGCATATTTGAAATTTCTTATCCAAACATTTTTAGTGTACAATTTCAGATATTGTTCGTAGCGATCTATTTTTATGTATGTATTCTATTTCAATTTTTTAACAAAAAATTAAACGCGAAGGGAAATTTTCTATATGCAATAAGTATGTCACTCGCATCTCAATCGTATTTACATGAAGTCATCGTAATCCTCTGCATAGTCGTTTCCGTATTTCTGATAGTCATCAATTTCCTATGAAAAAAAAAATATACCGAAATTTAATATGGGCTTGAAAGTATGGAATGTGAATGTTTTAGATACGAACATCAGTTTCTGTACGCAGAGATACTTTATTCTTTCCTTTGTTAGCAGGTTTTTTCGCATTTTGTTTTTCCATTTTTAGCTTCTCCGTATGCAAACTTTCTACATTCATTTTCACTTTTTTTATATCCGCTGCAGATACTGTAAAATGTAAATACATATGTATTAAAGTGCTATAAACTTACATTATTAAAGTATAAACAACACTTACAATTAACACATATGCTACGAACTAGGTCCTCAACAAATTCTGGGAAGTGTGGCGATTCTTTGTAATGTGACAATTTCCAACTGAGCGTCGCACCAAATTCCTTGAACTCCTCTTTCGTTTGTGGATTGAATGCATCTAATCCATTGCCAATTTCTGTTACACCGAATGTTTCCAGCGCACTTTTAAGGTCTGATTCTTCTTGGATTTTTTTTATACGTAACTTCTCAACCAACGTTTCTTCAGGCGTCAAGTTAGCTAGCCGTTTTTCTTCCTCTTCTTCAGCTAGACGCTATTGTATTGGAAAAGTACTTCATTAGTATGTTTGCTTCGTGTATTTATTTACATCTAAGCTCGCCTGTAATTAATATAACTCACTTCTTGTTCCGATAATTTGGCTTTCAATGCTTTGTTTGGTTTAGTTTTTGTTGGCACTTCTGTTGTTGTCTCGGATTTTTCCTCATCCTTTTTTTCCTCCTCGTCTTCCCAACTGTCCTGTGTGTAAGAAAAACAGAAATGTTGATCATTAAAACACAATACATTTACAAACTCAAAATAACTAGCAAAGGTGAATGAAAATAATTATAATATATTATTTAAATAATATACTTATATTTATATAGAAACATATTTAATATACTTATAAATATTTATTTAAAATATGTAATTGACATACTATAGCTTAACCCAAGATAATGACGACAATCGAATAAATAAATTGACCACGTGTACACAAAATATAGTCAACCTGAATTGAATTAATCGAATACTAGAAACTCATTGGAAAGCAAGTTGATATATAATTCACACACAAAAATTTGTGTAGGTAAATGGTGCGTTCGCAGTCGCTAAAAAAATGCATGCTATCTGAAACCGCCGAATTTAATGATTACAAACATTTATTAGCAAGGTTACAATACATCCTTACCTTTACATCCTCGTCGTCATCCTCTCCCTGCCATTTATTAACATCATTTGTGATTTTAGGACGTATGACAACATCCTCATCAGCGGCTGACTCTGTTATACGTGTATTATGAAAAATATAGATGCCTTTGTTAAAATGCTACTAAATATAGTTTACATATATTTCTTGCATAATATATTTTACTTTCTTATGTTCGAGCCAACTCACATCGCCCTTGTATTACTAATTAAAACTGCTGCTGTCAATTCACATTCACTGCCATCAGTGTTTGTGTCAGGCAATGACAAAACACATATGAATGTAGTGAAATGTAGCAGCAATCCATTGATGAATCGACAACATTCCAGAACAGCTACTTACCCCAATCGGCCATGGTAAATTTTCGATGTACAAATGCTGAATTTTAGGTGATATTGATAGGTTTGAGATTTTAATAATTTAGTTTGTCGGTATAGAAATCCTGAAATATATTAATATCTCCCTGTTTTGGACAGAGAATTGAATTCAAAGCAAAAATGTGACAGACAAATCAAAACTGTGATAAACGTGTGCAAGATCTTCTTCTTTTGTCATTTCTATTAAATTCTCTTCATTTTTATATGCGTTACTATTTCAGGGTTGTATTTCTACGTATTTAAATATTAATCCTTAATTAAAATAAAAACGATTAATATAGTTCAAACGAAACCAAAATAATTACTTTCAAAACTTAATTTTACATAAAAGAAATGTCGCCTTAGAACTTTCCATACAGTTAATATATGTATTCCGTAACTTTATTATATTCAACATTCTTTTTTTAATTTAAGAGCCAGCAACTCTTTTTGAAATCAGCTGGAGTGCTATTCTACAAATGAAATCAAAGAAGAATCATGCAAAACGAAAACGCGTTAATAGAAATAATGAACATAAATTATTTTAGCAACAAAATTTAGTGTATAAAAAATAAAATTATTTAAAATTCAAAAATTCAATGTACATATAAAAACTCAATACTGAACCTCAGCTCAATTTAATAGAAAGATCCATTTTTATATATTGATTAAGTGAAATAAAGTGTAGTCATTGAACAAAGAAATCATTGGTTGCACGAAATTAGGTGAGTGGGATGAATTTATGACTTCATTTGAGCAAAACAAAAAAACATTTTTTCTACTTTAGGTGAAAAATGGCTAAGGTTATTTCACAAGAAACCTTTGATGATGTGGTAAAGGAAAATATCGTGGACTTCTCTATGAGTCCAGATGAAGCAAAAGAAGAAACAATCAAGCAATTCGAAGCGCAGGTATATGCATATTTTTTCAATTTAATTTTAACACATACTGACATGTGCATCGGAGCCATATTTTTGTACTAAAAGTATGCAAATAATTTCTTACTCCATATAATTATATTAATAGGGAATTAACTTGGCGAACATCATTAAGGATTTAACAATAAATCCAGAAACTGGCAAACCTGTACTGAATGAAATAATTGATGAAATAAAAACTTATATAGGTCAAAAATCCACCGATACTAATAAACTACTGGAAAACTTGTCTATCTTAGACACTGAATGCCAAAAGGTATTTTGAAATAGTCAACATGATTCTTTAAATAATTCGAATTTTGTCAGTCTATTTCCCATCGGGTACTCGCCGGAAAGAATAGTGCTCATGAAGCACTTATAACGCTTCTAGAACAAGAACTAGTGAACCAAAACTCTTCTGAAATTGTGAAACCTAATTTATCCGTCTTAGAGGCTTGTCTAAAGTGCGCTAATAGTTTTACAAACAAACAACCAGATATATTCGATGCAGAAGCCCTTGCAGTAATTTTGAAACTTTTGTCCATCGAACATGAAAATATAATAATTTTTACGCTGCAATGGTTGCAAAAAGCAAGTATCATGCACGAAATCAATCGGCAAAACATTGTCAATGCTGGCGTGGTGAAAAAGTTGAAGCCATTTGTGTCCAAGCAGAGCAGCCTAAAACTTATTCGAGAAGTTCTAGCTGTTATGCGCTATCTTGTGCTGGACGATGATATTCGTGTAGAGTTCGGATGTGCACACGAACATGCGCGTCGCATTGCGAGCGAATATATTGTGGATTTGACAAAGTTATTGGGTGAATACAATGATCCCAATATTTTGTCAGATTTGTTATTGACAATCGGTGCTTTAGCGGTGCGTCAAGAATTTTGCACAACCATTGAGGATGCGGGGGGAATTAAATTCGTGTTTGATATTATGGTGAGTATTAGCTTTATATTTAACAGCACTTGCGATATTTCTAGCACGCACATTTTCAGACCGCTAATCAAACATCTGTTCGTGTCAATCGCGAAGCCTTTAAGCTTTTACGTGCTTTAGGCGGTAACGACACTGTGAAGGCGCATATTGTGCAACAAGGTGCAGCCCCGATTATTAAGCAAGTGCTGGAAACACATCTGGTGAGTGCTCCACCACATTTCGCCAAGCTTTGAGTGAAAGAACCCTTATAAATCATTTATATTTCACAGTCAAATGAGAATGTAGTCACTGCGGCATTGGCTTGTATTGCAACATTGACTTTGCGTGTTAAAGACAATAGTGTAGCCTTCTTTGCTACGGGAATTGCAGAAACCATTGTAGAGGCTGTTCGCATGCATCCTAAAAATAAGATTGTTCAAGTAAATTGAAATGCTTTGATATCTTATTTAATAATTTTATTTAAAAACTATTTTTCGAACAGCGTAACGGTGCTTGGGCCATTCGCAACATGGTGTCGCGTTCACGCGATCAATGTGAAAGCTGGATTTCTTATGGTATAGAAGATCTATTAAATACAGCGCTAAGTTCGCACCCATCAATACAACAGGATGTAAAGGCGGCACTTCGCGATTTAGGATGTAGAGTAGAACTTCGCGAAGAATTCACAGGAGTTGCTGAAAAGAAAATTATTGGCATGTGAAAACCAAACTTTTATGAAAACGCGCTCAGTGCTTAGAAAAAAAGAAACATGAATCTATCTTCAAAGCTTTAAAAGGAGCCTTTCTGTAAATTGAGTCCAGTATTTGCATGAATAAAAATGCAACTATTTCATTTAAATTTTAATCGCTAACTATATACTTATTTCAATATTTTTTACACAACCATATTCATATTGACAAACAAAAACTACTTATGTATAAAATTATAAAAAAAAAAAAAAAAAATTTAACTACCACATATGATAATAAGACAATTTATATTATTTTTGATTTCTTTTTTTTTTTTTTATAAAAAAAACTTGAAAAGTTTGGTAAAAAAAATTTAAAGGAATTATAATATATACTTATTATCTGATATGGATCATAGCTAGGAACGCAAGAAATTGGTAGGGTTGCAAATACATTTTCAAATTGTGGCACCATGCCAAGTGTTCCCGTAAGACAGAAAAATATAAATGCACTCTCATAATATACAAAGTTTTTTAATAAATATCTAAATTAAATACATGATGGCTACTAACTAGTTTCCTTAAATTTATGCCAACCTGCAGACATCATTTGTTTAACTTAAACTTGCGCAAACCACCAGCTTTTAGACGACTATCTAAATTACTTCCGATTGGCCTTGGTTTTGTGGGCGATACGGCTCTCGTACTGCTCGGTTCGAAATTCATGCCAAAGTGTTTAGCTGTTGTTGAAGAAGAGCTAATTGCCAATCGCGGTTTCTTCATGATGGAATACTATTTGAATAACACTTGATGTCATACAACTTTAAAATATATATTCCATTTATTTTAAACCTTTTCTGTGATATCACTTTGAGCTTTGCGTAGCATACCCAAACTGCTACCGATGCTGTTAGCGGCACTGTCTTTATCAGCTTTTTTCGGTGATATTTTTAATGTCGCCAATTTCGTGGTTGTAATACCCGTTCGCTCTGGCAGATTGTCTTGATTGCGTTTAAACAATGGCAGCAGGCCGATACTGCTGGACTTAATATTGAGATAAGGAGAATTGGAGTCTTCAATCTTCTTCAGGTTTTCCTTCTATAGAATTAAGGGGATAATAAATAGTATATTTCAAATGGGTAGGGATATATACGAACAATAGTGGGCGACAATGTCTGACGTTTTTCCGGCAATGCATTCGGCGCAGATTCTGTGCTCTGCCTGCATTGGTCTGACATGAAACTTATTGGCCCTTTATTTTCTACTGCCTTCATCTGCAAGAACATATAGTATCAGGTATTGTTTTTAATATATTTACCTAATTATTTCGTACTTTCTGTTGTAATTGATAGTTTTCACTTTCTAATTGTGAAATGCGTTCCTCAAAAGACCTACGGATTTTTTTTGAATTTTGGTTTAAACAATATTTTAAATATTTGTGTGAGGTATATTACTTTTTAGCAGCCATTTCTTGTCGCAAATTGTCCTGCATAACTTTCATAGCCCGGCGCAAATCAGTTTTCTTTGTTTCACATGTGCGAAGTTCGCTGTAATATGTGCGATGTAATAACAAGAGATAATTACTTAAATATTTGGTCAGGTAGTTGGGGTGGTAAATAATATTTTTGTTTTGCGACATACTAACCGCTTCAGGGCAGCTACCCAGGTGCACAGTCGCACAGGATCTTTTTCGATCTTGAGCATTTTTTCAGCTTCTACTGTTGTGGCGGCGAGAACTGATTGTACTGACTCTATTGTTTTAATTTGTTGCTTTAGACGTTCCACCTCTTTGCGTAAGTCTTCGGCCATCTTTGCTTCAGTCTTAAAGATTTTCAACTGAAAACCAGCAAAACTACTTTGTAGGTAATACTTTTATAATTAAATGTACCACGCACCTGTTCCGAATATGTAAGTATTACGAAATCGTTTTTCTGTATTCTTTGCTCCATAGCTTGAATTGTTTGCCTAATGTAGAAACATATTTGAATAATGGAAATTTGCCTTTATAAAGAGTTTATCTTACTTACGCTGCTTTAATTTGGCATTCTTTAAGATCTTTAATTTGTTGTTGCGTTTTATTCAACTCTTTTTCCTTCATTTTTAATTGCAGACTAGCGTTGTCCACTTGCTCTTGCAGTGATCCCACGTCGATAGTACTCAGATCCAGATTTGCCAAGTTGAAATATATGCGGAATATATTACGATCCGTACACTTAGTTCGACACTGGGGGCACGACTTCGATCTGTTGTGTTAGGAAAAAAATGCGTTATAGCTGTATATTGTAGTCGGACGTTAACTAACCGTTCCATCCATTGTTTTAAGCATGCTATGTGAAACATATGGCCACAGTTGGTTGCACGCACATCATCTGAGGCGACGAACAGCTCAGCACAAATAACACAATTTAAATTGAGCATTTCAACATAAAATAATTCAAAAACTAATTTACTAATTATAACAAAAAATGTTGTATGGAGTTATTTAGTTCATAGACAATATAATTAACAGCCAAAACAGTTACACAGTTCCAGTTTTAACATTTTTGACAAATCCCTATTTCACTGCTTCCTTTTATTTACTGCTTTTGCCGCCAAATTCATCCATTACAGGTTTGCTCAACTGTCAAACGAATTCAGCTGATACCTGGTACTCAAGACATCTAGCTGTGTTCGGTGACTAAAACATTTGTTTGAACTAGTGCTTGGACAGTTTATTACCGTATAAAAATTGTGTAAAAAAAAATAAAATTTTCTACGAAATTATTATATAATATATTGGCTATGATAATAATTTTATCTGGCAATAATTCTGACAGTTGGTTGTCAATTATTATTGCCTCTGTGTATGCACTTACTATTTTCAGGCCCAAAGAGAAGGAGCGGGGGGTGGATTTTTAGTTACAGATCACAACGTTGGGAAATTCTGAAATCCAAAATACCCAATTCACTTTACTGTCTTTCTAATACAAGGTAGTCTGCCAGAATCAATGAAATAAATTTGGTTCTTCAAGAGATCAATGCCACTTTCGACGCTGAAGTTAGAAATATTGAAAGCCTCCTTTTGGATTTGCAGTTTCTGCGCGACCAGTGGAAAGCAATTTATAATGAATGCAAAATTGTTGCAGAGAATTTATGTTAGAGCATATCGAGACGATTTTACCATTAGCTAGAAAAAAAACCATTGAAACGACCTAAATGAAGAACTGGATTAAGATTGCAGTAACGAAGAAATTGAATTCAAAAGAAATCGTTCTTATTTCTATATCAGTTCGATGATATGAAAGAAGATGAACTCAACGCAGTTACAAAAATTTTTGCAAAAAGATATTCCGTTGATGTATTTGATAAGTTGTGCAATTAAGCTATTCACCTCAGAACGTTTACGATACAAATTACAATATATTGAATGCCATCAATGCTCGAAAATAAGGAAGACCTTTCCCAAATATTGTATTTGCATCGCTGTGAGAATATTTTCCACTTTACCCCGTTTCTGTTTCAAGTGGTCAACTTTTAGTTTAATGCTTTAGCATGGATCAAAAATTTTCATCACTCATGCTCGTCACATGCCAGGATTTCTGGACTAGTTACACCGTGCCTAGAGGTAGAATTAGTCAAGAAGTTTGATTTTCAGACTATTATCGACGCATTTGCTGCCACCAAATGGAGGATTTTAAACTGCATGGTTAAAATTAAAATCACATACTTCAAAAGAAGCGTTTTATCATTAGTTTGATCGATAAATAATTGTTTGAGTGATATGTGTCTGTCTTCTTATTAACTGTCAAGTCTTGCTATCCCTATATTCATATATTCCGGTATAATCTAAAAAAAAATATATTTCTGACTGAAGGTCTATGTATGAACTGATTTATCATTGATTTTTAAAATCGTACAAAAGAAATTTGTTCCACCCAACATCGACAAGAATGCGAATTTCATACAGTTGTGGTAACAGCATAAAACACTAAGTCGTATTTGACTTATTCGTCAAAAATATTGAAGTAGTAAGTGGGAAGATACTTAATAAAGTTTTAAAGTATTAGAAGCATTCCTGTAGGGTGGTGTCTCCCATCTTTTTAGCCCTGCGACCAGTTTTTCTCTCCGCGGTCCTGACTACTTTTATTGTATGGTGGTACAACAAGTGAATAAGTTATATTAAGTTTGCTACAAAATTTGTAATATTCAGAAGCAAACGTTGGAGATTCTATTAAATATATGTATATACGAGTATGTATAAGTAATCAGCGTTTGCCTGTCCGTCTTCAATTGTCGAATAAATTGTTCAGATCGGACCACTATAGCATATAGCTGCTATACAAACTGACCGATGAATAACAAGTGCTTGAATGGAAACTTCTTTATTTGTGAAAGGTATTATAGCTTCAGTGCAACCGAAATAACATTTTTTCTTGTTTTTACACTTATTTTGCACTTCTTGCAAACTTGTCATTTACCGATCAAAACATTTGTAAGTGAAGGCTTGGTCAACAAAACATTTATATTGACCGATGGGTCATATTTAGTTAGCCGTCTGCTGCCTTCTTCAAATTTGGATTTCAAAAATAAAACCGAAACATCATCGCTATTGAAGAAATGAGTAGATTTTTTCTATAAAATCATTCTAAATACAAAACAGAACGGTGAAAGATGTGGAAAAATGGTATTCGATTTTTGGAGCCAAAGGAAAGGATGGGCTGAGCATGTCTGTAAACTTGTAGATATGTTTCAGATGTTACACATATTTTAATAGCTTTAAAGAATTCACTAAGTTTGACTAAGAATTTCTTAATATTTATATGAGATATTTGACTGCACGAAATTTTAAGAATTTTAAAATCCCTATGAATTGGGAAGTTGTGTGAAACAGGTCCACATAATTAAACCACCAAAGTATAAATCTATCATTTTACTTGTTTTTAAAGCAGAGTAATTTTACTGCAATCAAAGACTGCTTCGACATTGCTCACCTACGAAACAACAAATATGGCAAACGGTTAACAACAATAAAACAATCAATGAAAAACGGTTATTTGATTTTTTTACAATAAATTTTTATAATTTATTTTCTCGCTTTGGCGCGTTCATTTTTCACCTTTTGAAGTTTTGTTGTAGCACAGTACAATTTATTTATATTTCATATTGTATATTAATTTCATTCGTCTATTTTTGTTGTTAATTAATGCTAGTTACAATTATGTTTAAGCATAAGTATGGTTTACAGTCTGTGCGACATGTGTTGAACAATAATATTTATTAGTAACCTACTTTCTTATGTATACATATATTTATATGTATGGATGTACATATGAACATATACATATGTATGTGATTTAAATATTTTAAGATTTGCGTTATAGACCAGCGAAGATAGTATTTGAAAAACAAAAAAAAACACAGTAGGATGGAACTCATCGGAAACGAAAGATAAAATAACAAACATTAAAGGAAAAATAATTTACGGACAATCTGAGGTCGGGAAAAGGAAGGGGAGGGGCGTTTTTGAAGTTTTAAGGGTTGAAACGGCTTATCTCGATTTTCGTAATAACTACGAGATACTATAGAAAAAAATTATAGGGCAATGAAAAGATCTATAACTTTTGTATATAGACTTTTTTCGCAAAATCTCAAAATTTATGTGAAATTCAAGTAACCAAATTTTTGAGTTTTCCATTTTTATCTTGTACAAAAATTTGTTTTCTTTCACGAAATTTGGTTTAAACTTACTTCAATTTAAAATCGAAAAAAACCCTACTTCTCACGTCAAAATTTCAGATTTCTTTAAAAAGTCAGTAAGCTCTTTTTTGCCGGAAATCAAGCTAAACCGTTTTCAACCCTTAAAAATTCAACCGCGCCCTTCCCCTTCGTCTTCCCGACCTTAGATCGTCGTTAACTATTTTTCCTTTTTTATCCTAGTGTGATTTGTTTTTAATCATTTTCAAACGCTTCTGCACTAATCTATTAGGAATATTAGTGATAGAATGTGTTTTGATTTGGAACAAACTAATATTTAATTTAATTTGGCTGGTGTCTTTAAAACGTTACAATTTTTTTTTACAGTGTCAAAAAAAGTATCAAAGTTCGATAAACACTTAATGATAAGCGAATGAAACCTCAAATTTTAAAAATGAATTATGTACAAACGGTAAATAAAAATGGAAATCGCTTTGGAACTGAAGCTGAATAGTCGTTATTGCTAAAATCAGGCGCTTGCCGGAGGCTATTGGGGCTAAAGCTTGCCGGTAGCTTGGTTTTAAAAATAACAAACAAAATCATTGAAGTGTATGTCATAAATATGATTGTATACTAAATATATTCACTGTTATCTTAAAAATAAACATTAAATAAAATTATGGAAAAATTATAAAAAATAAATTCTCTGAAGACACACTTAATTGTCTCCTTGATGTGATACTCATCAAGTGTATATCGAACATCGAAAATTATTTAAGAGCCTTAGGCTATGTGTGTGTTATTTCCGAAACTGAACCAACGTTGAGAGCAATAGTTAAATGCTAATAGTTGAAGACTTCATATGATTTGAGCAAAGTACAAAGGTTTCGTTAATGGGTTCCGTTGTTTGTTACAAGTCGCAGAAAATATGTATGTAGCTTCTTTCACACATCGAGGCTTGTCGTCTCTTGGGTCACCAAAATTTCACACTTTGTGACAGACTCAAGGACCAGACAAAAATCTCAGCTTTTCCTGGCCTATGCTACCTGGTGGCACATTACCCTGCCAGAATATTTTTACATTTTCACTCGATGCGACGAAATCTGCCTCTTGAAGGCCTTCTCACCCGTTATTGCGGCTCGGTAAATGTATATCTAGGTATGTATGAACTTAATTTTAATTTTAGGGTTATGAAATTGAGCTAATGTATTTTGATTTTCTTGAATTTTCTTTGCATTCACAGCGGTGCTTGTAGTCGGCACGCTGTCATGAGCATTTTTGCTTTTGATTGAACTGCATTATTTATTAATGGCGCTGCTCCGAATGCCCAACAGCGCATTATTTATATATATGTATATATTATATGTACAGGGGGTACAAGTTTCTGAAGCCATTCTCTAAGGAATATCTAACCTCAATTGCATTAAGTATGTATTTACAAGTAGTTTTACTACATAAGATAGTAATAAGAGTATGCAAACATGTATGTGTGTGTTAATTATTATTCTTATATTTGTTTTATACATTTGCACAAGTTTTGGTCATCTAACTGTATTTAACTATATTACCCATTTACCCGAAAAATTACATTTTAGTAATTAACTAACGTTTGATTAATGCCATTAACTTTAGATTATTGTGTACATTTATTGAGATTTATTCTGCGAGTTGCAGGCATATGCAAATATTTAAAGAAATCCATTTTTCGCGCATTTGTCAAGATTTGGGCTTTAACGCTATTTGTTTTTTTATTTAATATCTAGCAATACAGTTTATGTTTAACTCTTATTACTAGTATTTATGCTAATATGCTAAGCGAGTTTTACTTGGACTGTACAGAGACAACACTTATTATTGTGTTTTCTTTATACTAACATTTAAGCTTACTTCTAAAGTCAACAATTTCATATAAACCAACACATAGACATGTATTGCAATGTCTATGCATGTGTGTACGAGTATGTAAATCTATTTAACTGCTTAGTAACTATACAACTATTTATGAGTAGTATTGAACAAATTTATGTTTTTATGTATAGGTGTGTAGGTATGTAGCATTGCTAATTGTTTTCGTTTTATATCTTCATTATTCAAGTTCTCAGTTATTGTTATTATCTTAAAAGTAGGTATGCGACTTACTTAATGTCAAACAAATTGTATGCAACACTTAATCAACAGTTATATTTTAGAAAAACAGTTTCTTTACAATAACCTATTTACGATGCAATTCGTAAGTATTACATAACTATTAATTAAGTTAACCAGAGGGGTGTGATGATGAATGATGTATGCTATTAGGTAGATTGGCTTGAGCCTAACTACATGCTTTGTCCATTATTCATGACACACGGATTTACAGCGGAGAGTGCCATCCGTGAAAGCCGTTTCTTGAGCGGAATCTCCTCAATGCTTAGTTTTGCTTAAAATAAAACGATATGGTAATATCATTTTCTATATCTCTCACACAATTATACATCTCTAATAATCTATGATTGGTGTTGGATCTTATACATTTCACTCCAGCGTCTTTTGACTTTACTACATAAAGTGATTGTTGTCAAGGAATACCGCATTGGTTCATAGTTGTTCTTCTGAAAATAGAAAGAAAAAATTACATAAAATGAGTTTTAATAAATAATATGACATTATAAAGATGAACAGCACTTTGTGTTTTTGATAACACCGCAAAATTATTCGTGCAAAGGGCGCGTCTCATTGTTTTGGTGCTAGTTCTCTGCAAACTTTCTACCAAGGGCTACAATTACTTTGTGTGGAATATTCTACAATATCAGCGTCCCAAAATTATCTCCTATTGAGGATTTGTAAAAGAATATTAAAAAATTTTTGTACTGATCCCTGTTTAGCCAAGTGACATACGCACTTTTCGCACGAATTGCTGACATAAAAGGCAGTTTTCATTATCGTTCATATGAAAAATTTAAATATTCATGCGGTTGCCGTACGGAAAACATATCCACACAAAAAAAAGAAATGAAGGAAAATATGAAAATCACTTATAGCATTAAATAATAATAGAAATTTGCATTGGGGCCCGCTTCTTCAAGCGCAAGTACTTTTTCCTTATCAATTTGCGGAAAAAAGGCAAAGTTTTATCTGCATTTTATCACTGCTGCTGTCATCTTCACTCTACTCATTATAATGGTCATTCTCATTTATATTTTATTTCAGCGCATTTTCCTCGCTCATCCCGCAGCATTGCCAATAAAGTCGCTCGTTCGCCCGCTTAGTGCTACTGTCGTCGCTGGTGTTGCGAACTCAACCCACACCGGCTTAGCTGACCCGCGAACCAAACTTTTCCCAGCAGTATTTGAAAATTTTCACAAGCATAAAAAAAGGCATATGGAGAGCATGAGCAGGAGTGGTAGCCAAAAAAGGATGTGTACATAACAAGTACGAGTATATTGTGGAAAGGGCTCGGGAGGCGCAAAACGCAAACAATTTAAGAAAATATTTAAAAAGTTATTGAGCGTAGTGCAGTTATCATTCTATCAAAGTATGTAAAGTACTAGCATGTGTGTGGGTTGGATCTCGAGCTTGAACTTTCTGATTGACAAAACAAAAAAACTAAAAATAAACGGCACTGGCATTGGGAAGCGATAACACTAAATTCCGGATGATAGTACTTTATGTGGGCCATTTTGTTGTATTATAAGTTGGTAGTAAACACCGAATAAAGCAGGTGGGAGAGCATAATCACCAAATGCACTGTGATGAATAAAGTAAGTGGAGTAAATTTTGTACTTTCAAGAGGTTCGAAATCACGGCACGCGTGATTGAATCAAATAACTAATTCATACACGTTCTCTTAAAACTCAAGAAACCTTTTCTTATAACGGTGGAGAAAAGTAGAAATTATCAAAGGAAGTGACTGTAGAACCTCGTAGTTTCAAATTTATGCCGATAATTATTTACTTTTCCGAAAGAAGAACTTGAGGCTTTCTACAAATGCTCATGATGTTATGAGTTTCAGTCACTAATGGACGTGCGGTCCGGTTAAAGTGATGTAGAATATTTCAACGAGATTGGTGATAGTTTCAGATACCTTCTTGTATGTAGGTTTGTTCTGTTCTACATTTTGACACGACAAAGACTTTTTCAGTTACAAAAAAAGAAAAAAAAGTTACTTAAAATACGTTTTTCTAACCAGAAAAGCAAAAACAACTGTCACCAATGCTGACTGTCGCTCAAGAAACGCGCACAGCTACGAGCCATCTCTGAATTTCTGCCACATTTCAATTGCAAAGGCGTTTTTGTATGCAGGCGTGAAATTTTATTTTTTTATGCGCCCATTGGCGTTGAATGATGCAAGTAAACTGGATTTCCGCCTCACTTAGCAGAGTACTTCAAAACCGGAAGTTACGAAAAATGCACCCCTCGGCACTGCGTTAAGTTATAAATCCTAATAATAGGCATGTTAGGCGCCGAAATGGATTGCTTGGCTGCGGCAGCGACAGTTTGACGTATGCAAATTGATTGATTGACTGTCATTATCGGCTTTTGTTGTTGTGAGCAATGTGAGTGAGAAGCGTGGTGCGAGTTGCATAGCGTACACACAAAAGAAATGTAAAGAAGATATACGTAAGTTCGAAATTGCTTGGAAGATTGAAATATATCTAGCAGCGTCACCACATTTAGAGTTACTTTTTATCTTCAAGCAGAGAGCTTAAGACATTAAGACAAATAAAAAATTTTAAAATTATCCATATAATTTTTGTTGTCCGCAACACTTTTAAGAAGTAATAGCATCTTTGAAACACTTGGCTGCAATAAGCAGGAAACCAGTCTGTGGTCGAGACTCATTAATATGATTTGGAGATGAAAAAAAAAATTTAAACCGAATGAATAATAACTGTAAAGTAATTGACGAATCGCAACTTTTAGTTAGGAACAGTTAGAAAGAACACACATTCAATGAAGACATTAAAAAAATTTTCAGGTCTTTCAACATCTCTTAAATTTAAAGCATTTTACATGGTTTTTGCATTGCTGTTAAATTTCGTCTGCAACCGAAAACCTTTTCCTCTTTAACTGTCCGTTTTTCATGTAATTTCGATTTCCAATTTGTGAGCTTTCTTTCACTCTGGCCAATTCGTAACCAGACTATTGTAAAGCGAGCTTTGAGCAACACAATCAGCCAACAGTAGTCAACACTTCTCCAGGCAATAGCAAAATATGGCCTCCCGTAACTGTCCCAAGCGATATCAGTTTTTTGTTAACAATACTTCCGCAATTGCTTTCGTAAAATAGTTGTTGACAAAAGAGACATGAAAAAGAACTGTTTAAGGAGTGTAGCTGAGAATACGCAAATGCAATCAATTTGCTCCAATGATTTTGCCAACAACAATTACGTAGATATCTTTGTGGCAAGCAGTGCTTTTCGGTTTGCGAAGCGGGAGACGAACTTTTATTTGCATTTTTATGTTTGGTTTTCGTTTTTTTTTTGCTAAGTTCTCGTCATTTGTCTTTGTTAATGTTTGGTGGGGTTTGGCAAGATGTTGCGTATGAACAATGTTGGTTCTAAATGTGTGTGTGTGTACGCACTTATCCTAGAGCTTATTTATACAGGACACTATTCTTGTTTGTCGGTATGAATATTTGCAGACATTAGTTTTGAGTTTTTAAGATGCTACATGCGTCTAATGCTTTGTATATACAATACTTGTACATACAAGTATCCGTGTACAAGAGCGTGAATTGCAATGATTGCTTGTTAGTTTAACTGCAGCCATGCTGCGGTTTTGGCGTTCTAGACTTTTGGATAGTGTTGAAACGTTGTGCATTTGAAGATTATCTGAAGTTCAATGCAAATTTCAGACCTACAGTGTTTCCGAGCATGTCAGAAGCTTTTTGCTACTATTAAAATTTTCTTGTTGAATCGCACTTGCTTCGTCTTTCGACTTTGCTTATGTCGGAAGTTACATTGCCTGCGACATTTCATAATGAATCTTTTTGTATTGCGGTGTACATTCTAGAAATAGTCAGTTCATACTGATTTGTAATAGTGGCTGATTGAGAACTAAGATTGTGGCTAGTAAATATTTCATATATCTAAAAGAATAGTTAAAAGTTAGGTATGTAGGAAATAAATAACTGGTCTTACATATGTAAACCAACTACGAGCTTCAGCAAGCTGAAAAGCTAAAGTCTCTATTAAGGAAAAAATTAGTTTTAGCTTTCAAAAGAGATACTTATTACTTATTTTAAAATATAGTAAAATGATAATTGCAACAAATTAAAAAAAAAAATTAAACTCCTTGACTTACTGTGTGTTAACTTTTCAGACGCCAAGTCGCCCGCTGTTGTTTATATCTTTCCACTGCGATAATGTACCGGACGATGGCCGCCGAAGAGTATGCGTTTGAACGCCTGTCGGAACTCTGGACTGAATATCGTGTAAATCACCGGGTTCAGCGTTGAGTTGAAGTAGCCAAGCCAAAGAAATACCGAGGCAAGCCCATCGTTAATCTCGCATGTCTCACACAGCGGCAAGAGCAGTGCCATTACAAAGAATGGCAGCCAGCAGATAACGAAGGCACCGGTGATGATAGCCAATGTTTTGGCCGCTTTTCGTTCACGTTTCGCTTCCAATGTCTCTTTACGTTTTGTCACCTTATGTACGGGATTGGCTATGCTGGATAATGGCTGTGGATGCTTTAGCTTGGGTGTGGGCGTCAGTTGGCAGGAGGATGCGGCAGCCAGAGGCGTCACTGAGGGCGCCAGTGGATGCAGATGTTCGTCACCACCGCTACTTGCGGTGATAGCGGTTGTTGGTGTTTGTGGCGACAGTGCCGATATGGAAGTGATTGTGGTGGCGTTTGAGGCACATGCAGCCGGCGGTGCTGTCTTACTGCCGACTAATGGTGTCGTGGTGTCAGCATGCTGCTGCACTTGCTGCAATTGTTGCTGGAGCTGAGGATCCTCTAGGACCTCCGCAGTACCGTTGGCAGACGTGGCTGTAGGTGTGCTGTCATTTATCGCAGCGTGTGTGGAGCTTATGCCGTTGCTGTCGTTCGGCGCTACTATGCATACTTTAGTTGTTGATGTTGTTGTTGCTGTTGTGGTAGGTAACTTATTGTTTTCTGGAGTTGTTGTCGTTATCGCTGCTTCTGAAATTGCCGCCGCAGCTGTTGTTGTATTTATATTGCTACTACTGTCTTTATGTTGTTGTTGCTGCTGTTGTACTGTTGAGGTTGATTTGGATGCTGTATGTTGTTGATTAGCTAATGCTACCAGGTGGGATACAGTCGATATTTGGCTTGTCGAAGTAGTCGGAATCTATTAGCAGAGTGAGAAGAAAACGGATTTGAAAACGTTAGACTATATTTATTTCGTATATACGTTTAAGTACACTAGGTGAAGAACTTAACCCTCCCAATTGTGAAAAAATAAACTGAGACTTTCATTATATTATTGTATAATAATATTGACTGGAACACCTACTTTCCAATTACTTGTATCTTAAATTTTAATTAGCAATGAAATACTCAAAAATACTCGTAAATTTTGAAAACAATTCGGAAAACTATTCCCGGGGTCTAGTTTCAAACGAAGCTTAATTATTTTGTAATGATAATATTGGCAACTCTATCACATTGTAAAATTAATGGCAACCATATATATAAGTTCTTGGTATTAGTATTTGACACCAAACTTACCACACCGCTTCTCAGCCGAAGTGATGGTATGTTTGTTCTCTCTCTCTCTCATATTTTCTTTTTCATAACATACAAACGTACAAATATGTAAGAGGAGCAATTGTAGTTTTGAACATTTTTGTATGACTCCCCAAAGTTTTGTTTGAAAGTGTGAGAGCCGATGGCATGCAGCACATTAAAAATCACTGTTGATCACACAAACCACACAAGCAGTACTAATAAATTTCAGAATTCAGCCTATTTTAAGAAATTCAATCACCGCGTGCATGAATTATGGAATTTATCTTTATAGGTTAAAATTTTATGACTCGTGATATAACAGCCACATCTGCTCATAAATTTCTCTCACACAATCAGCAAGAGTGTGTTCTTGAAATGGCAAAGAACGCTGCACAGCAATTGAAGCTCAAAATTGTCGAAAATAATAAATTATATTATTTAAATGTCTGTAAGTGATGTTTAGAAAGTAGTTGAAGGACAATGTTACTGTAGGTCGTTGGCGTGTCCTTGTGGAAAAATATCACAACATGGTCAAATACCGTTAACCAGTTGAAATTATAAATGGAGGAAGTGAATATTTCTCACTTCGTCTTAAATAATTTGAGTGCAAACGAACTGTCATGGATGGGACGTCACTCCATAATCGGAACTATGCAAGAAACCGGAAGAGAAATTAATAATTGACTAATATATAAAGTCTCTAATAGCATATATGATCGCAAATCTTAGAATATTTAAATTATTAATATTACTCTCTTTGAAGACGTTTCTTTTTTTGTATTAAATTGATTGTATTATGTTTGCTTCACCTTCCTTAGTTCATCAATTCACGGCACACGAATAAATAAGCTTAAGAGGAGAGCCCCCCCGTGTGTCTTCCAATCAAAGATTGCGCTTTTGTATCTTACGCTCAATTTAATCAAATTAATGTTGAGTTTCAGGAAATTCATTTTATTTTATTTCCATTTTTATTTTCGTAAACCGACGTATTCGAGCATTTGCCAACACACACTTAAGTACGTACTCGTGTGTGTGTTTGTGGGTGCAATTTGACGACGAAATTAGCATTGCCATGCCAGTAGAGTCTGTGGGACGAGCTCGCCGCCAATCCCACTATTTCGTTTTTACGTTAGTTTCCCCGCTGTTGTTGCTGATCTCCGTTCAAGTGTTATCGATATTATTGCGGGTTTACGATTTATGCGTTGTGCGCTTTCGCCGTCAGTTAGACGAGCAGATTTTTACAAGTATTCCTAATATTATATAATTTTTCATCACGGCCATCAATAATATTTTTATGGGGTCTCGCGGTTCGCAGGAATATTGTATGCATAACGGCAGATGATTATCACAACAGTTTAAGGTTATGAGCGATGAGTATGCCCACCATCGGCCAGGTCAGAGCTCCGAAATGTAAGTGTTTTATTTTAATGCCCGAAAATATAAATATAAAAAATGAAAATGAACTTTTTCAGTGGCGTAAATATTCGTAATTTCGTGAAATAAAAAAGTACACTTTGTTTGAAGGGTCCTACTGTCTACTATCAATAACCCGGGACGAGGCTGCAGTGGAATTTCGCACTGCTGTTTTGTTTTTCTATTTTTTTAATATTGACTCTGTTTGCTTTTGCTGTCTCTATATGCAGGTATAGAGGCCTACTTCCCCTTGGTGATATTAAATATGCCATGGCGTATACGTTACCACACTCAGGCAACAGTTCAGTGGCGTTCACTTACTCTCTGCTCATTACGTTTTTATACTGTCCGTCTTTTACATCGCGAGATATTATTATATACAGCATACGGTGCGCATTACATAAGAACATAATAGGGTGGGGATAATGCACTCTGGCAAATCTTATACTATGTTAATTCGAATAAATATGTGCCTGCTGCCTGCTGTATGTGTTTATGTATACGTGTGGGTGTATTCATGTTTATTTTAGTGCAAGGGAAGAGCGCTTTATCGGCATTATATTTGGCGGTCTGACGTAAAATTAGTTTAATATGCATGCTTATTGCATTCCCCTACTTAAAAGTACATTTTTTTGGAAGGTTTTCAAAATGACGAGCCAGTGCTTAAAATTTACTGTAAAATTTTACATGAAGAGAGCATAAACAGGTTTTTATACAATACATACACACGTTTAATCTTTGCTGAAGTGTACATATATTGAAGTTCAATGAAGTTTTTGAATACACGGAATGCAGTGGCATTATGTGAGAGATGTTGACAGTTCCATTTTATGAAATTTTATGCTGATAACTTTATTTTCCATCTACCTTTGCTTTTCTTCCATCAGCTTTAATATTTCACTCAATTTAACTGCAAGCGCCATACTTCTACAATACATAGGTATATCTGTATACAGAATGTGACTCCAACTTTATGCTTGGCCTTAAAATTTGATTTCGCTTGTTTATTGAAATGTCATAATATATTTATCCACCCATACCTTTATTTTTCCATCCTCTGCCAATTTGTGAAGCAAACCGCATCGCATAAAAAATATCAAATAAAAAGCTCAAGTGAATTAGTGGGCATGTAGATGTGGGGAGAGCAACGCGGCAGTTTTTCCAACAGTTTGCCATGAGTCCAGCGCTGGGCCGTTGCCTGGCTCTGTTGCGTTGGCAGAAACCTTGCCAAGACAAATATTTGTTCTGTGTCGAATGTTGATTGTGAACAATTGTGCGCTGCTTGAACAGCAGGCTTCCTAATAAATACATATTTACTTCAAACCGCACATGAAGATTTGCGCAAACAATGGCAGCCAATTGAAGGTCATTTATCTGTTTTCAAAGTTGTGACCAAAGCATTTAAGTGTAGCCAAATTATCGAAATACCACTCGGTTGCGTTTGGCGATAACGCGAAACTCTTTAAAATGAGAAGTAGCTGCCGAGGGAATAATTTTAGAATAGGGATGGACTCAACAGACTCTCGTTAGGTATTAGGGATAAATGACGAAACTTAGTGCACCGTCAATTAAACTTATCAACTTCACATCCATTCTAAACACCTTAAAAATTATAGGTTATAATTTTAATACTATCAAATAAATACACGTATTAGGCGCGGATTATAGTATAAGTTCAATTCAAAAACAACTTAAGCCAAATCCAGGATTTGCATGACCAAGAACCTTAAGTTCAGATGAAGTTGTCAATGCGAACTGCATTTATTGCTCTTTCGGTGAAAAAGAGACACATTTTAGTTTTTGTAATTTAGTTGTTGTTGTCATAAATCTATATAAATTTAACTCACTTCAGCACTCAGTTTATAATTGTGTGAGAGATTCGAAAGTCTCAAAATAAAACTATATCTCTTTATGAGCAATGTGTGTTGATTCTCCGCCGCATCAGTAAATTTGAAGTTTCTTCTGCTTTTGCTAAAGTTGGCTTCCTAAGTGCTGCTGAAAAGATGTAACTAATATGTTGTTGTGGACTTGACCGAAAACACCCTTAGATTTGATAACGGCGTTAAATAATAAAATAAATATTGTTCCCAACTGACGCAATATTGAACGATTAATAATTTTTAGCAAACTGCAAAGGATGTATAAAGATTTTGTGATCTAATGGCAATTATAATATTATATTATATAATACACATGTACTCGTATCAGCATAAATATCCTTGTGCTTGCTTATTCATGAATTTTACGCATTCTCTCTGGCCAACTAAGAACCTTCGGGGTCAGTTTGCATGAAGCTAAGAATTACGGCGTACAAAGCTGAAAAGTTAATCAAACCAGGAAGTTTAACATTGTACTCACATTCTTGCAATTGCAGCGCGTGCAAAAGAGACGCAGGCCGAGCTACCAAAGCGATTAAAGTACTAAGAAAATTGAGGCGACTTTCAAAGTTCAAGAGTAAACAATAAATTAAAGGATTCAAAATTGATTCCTGGAGTAAACTTTACTGGCGTCCACTCAAATTTATTGACTTTGCGGCCAATTGACTTGGCTTTTGGTGTGTCACAAATACATGAACACTACTGATGTGAGTAGTGAGATTAGTTAAGGTTATTTGCCTGATTTGGAGAAAGGATTTGGAGCTTATATGTGGAAAGCATTCAGTTAGGTGCTAATTATCACTAAATTCAGTACTCAACCTTTTTCAATCTGTTACAAATTATTATTTACAGAATTGGTCATGAAGCGAAATACCTTGCTTCGCTTATATTTTCCAATAACTTTTCTTAAAAAAATTTGGATCTAATACTTGCCAATATCGTTAAAAGTTATTTCTGCTTCTTGAGCTTTCTGCGAGTTTCTTTTAATTTTCTTTTTCAGTCTGTCTCAAAACCAATTTTATGTCAGCAAACAATTTCTATACTTGTATTTCAATTAATTGACGTGCAAAGTTTACTTAGCTTCACAAATTGCAACCGTAAATCTTTTAGGCAAATTTATTACTTAGGGGTAGAGCTAGGTCTAGCTTTAAATATTTGTTTGTGACCAAAACTCGCTTAACATTATGCCAATCATCCCAATTCGCCCGTTTGCCTTGTGTTGAAAATATGTAGGTATTTGTGCGTGGCTTATTGCCACATGCAGGGATGAACTCACATTCAGATGCACACAAACGGAGCGTTCAACATAACTAAAATTTGTTATTTGTACTCACCTCTTCGGGATTATTGCTAAACATCGTGGTCGACTCGACGCCCGCACGACTCTTACTGTCCACATTACTGCTGCTGAATTCGGTGTCCTCTACGGTGTTCACCGTGTTCGTTGAGTTGCCCTCGACCAGTCCGAGCGTTGTTTGGCCGACAGCTGTGCTGGCGTGTGCCGTTCCGAATTTGCCGATACGCAATCGAAGACGGTTGCGCTTCTTCTGCACAGCCAAGTCGGGCTGAAATGAGATAGTAAGTAGAAATATTGTAGACTGAGCTGTGAGCAATGAGCAAATGTACGATATGTAAAGGAAGCAAAAATCAAGAAAAGTGAAAGAAAACAATAACCGGAACAGAAAACCAGTTAAGTGGTTAAGTAACAGAAAAGTGAAAGCAAAGGGCATTAAGCTCACTGAGAGCTCAAGGCAACAATCAATGGTCATATGCATTTTTATGTGACATATGTGTTCATTTACACAGCCATGCGTATATGTGCGTTAGTGTGTGCAAATATGTTCAGAAAGGATCGTAAAATCGTAGAAGAAATGAGAGCCAATCTGGCAACAAATTGATAAAAAATTCAGTAAGTAGTACACGTTGGACAAATGGTGATGAAAAGTACAACAACACATTCGAGCTCAAGTTCATGCGCTGCCTCACATCCTTTCAGGACCCTTGGGCGCTCCACACTTCATTGCTTGTCCACTTGCTGCAGGTAAGTGCCTTCATACTTCTTCACTCAGGCGAAAAGAGGAAGATATCCATCGGAACGATTGGCCGCATAGAATTTGGTTTCGTAAACACAAACGGTTAGCATTTGGCTTCGTTTCTGCTGCTGCTTAAAAATTTAAATTGGTTTCGAGTTGCCCTCTTTATGGCTAAATAATCCGCAATTTGTGAGAAAATGAAATTTCACATTTTGGCATTTTCGTAACTTTCTCCACCTCCACATCTTACTCCATTTTACCTCGATACCTCTCTCCAAAGTCCGACGATATGTACATTACATGCTTGAGTATGTGTTGGTGTGTCGCCAGCGTGAAGCTAATCCTGCTGTGTTCCAGCTTATGCATTAGTTCGATGTTAGCAGTTACAAAGGCGTCGGTCCGATTGTAGTGAATAGTGGACATACAGATACGACACGAGTACGACGCTCCTTAGAGCATATAAATCTTTATATTTTAAATACACAAAGTGGGCACAAATGGGGTTCGATGGAAATAATTGGTAAGCTGATTTTCTTTTGTGTGTCCAACATATATATTGTATATTGTACATACATGTGTGTGTGTGTGTGTTTATTCACACAATTTGTCAATAATAAATTTTGGGCTTAGGCATTTCCCTAGGCACTTAAAGAGGTGGAGGCAGTTTTCATGTGTTTTTAATTAGTATGACTTATAAGAAACTTTTAAATAAATAATCTGATACAAAGGGCTTTACGGACTTCTATTGTCCTGCGGGTACATAAATGAGTTGTCATTTATCGGATGATTTCATAATTTTGTGGTTGTTTAAGGAGTTCAATTATCATGTAATTTTTTCTCTCGATTAAGAGCATTTTGTGTGCTAGTGTGTGAATGTGCTAATTATGCTTGTATGCCCTGGTAGAATAGACAAAGAACAATCCTAGCGTGATCCAGGATTATGATTTAGCCCAAGGATACTCTACTTGAAATCAATTAAGCGATATCAATGACTTGTTTACCTTTTTTTTTAATCGTGGCTACCGACTATTGTTTTATTTGTCGCCGACCGAGGTGTGTACAAATGGGATAGCTCCTCATTCAGACCGATTATTCTCGTTTTGATGTGTTGGTTGCGAAGAGAAACCAAATCAATAAAAAACAGAAGACTAATTGGCAGTTAGTTTAAGTATCTAAAGAAGTTTTCGCATGTTGAGGGGTAAAGAGCACGTTGAAATTCTGAATACACATACCTATGTACATCCATATTGCTGAAGAAAGCAAATAGTAAATATCACAATGTAAGCTAGTATCCAATGTGATTACGCTTTTATGCGTTAATAAAAGGATGCTGTTCAAATAATATGAAAAGCTTAAGAAAGCCCACTGGCTAAACTTTTACTTCCCATTTTGGGTAAAACAACACAACGCCTTGCTCGAACACAATCTTTCCTTAAAATTTGTGGAAAAAAAGCAAAAAAAGCAGTTATAGTAAACCTACTCGCCATGGCTCACTGAAAATGGGGAACAGGCAATTGAGTAAGTTGGTAAGTGAGTGAGCAAAGTAAGCTTAGTTGACCCTTTTCGAGTTGTGGCTCACCGAAATGCGGTACAGACGAGTGGTTACTTATGTTAGTTGATTTGCTTGATTGGCTACAGTGTAGGCGTTGAATTTCATTTGCTTGGGATTAGTTCGCATACAAGTTCACTCTTGACGTTTGGGATCAATTGGCTTGGCGAGTTGCGTGTTAGGTACTGCGTCAAACTAAAATTATTAAATTAATAATAAACATTTTCCTAATAATACCTTTAAAGCGATCGAAAGTATGAAGATAGTCTTCAAGAAACTTCAAAAAGTCTGTTAATTACTATTACTTCGCCTCGGCTTGGTGTGCAACAACTAGCATGTCGTGTGCGGCATGACAAATTTAATGAACGTTTGAGCACATTAACAATGTTGCTGTTGATACTTAACACAATTGTAAAAATTAAGTGCTACAAAAGCACAAACATGCTCAGCAACTCAACTACAGCAGTAATGGTGAAGTGGGCGTGTGTGTCTTTGTCCCATTTTAAGTGCTCAACTAGGCGTACGTGGCGTATGAACAACGCAAATGGCGCCGCCAGCAAAGAGCAACCACATTTTAATCCAGCAATTTAAGCAATTAGACAGTTGATGTGTTTAATTAGTATTATACATCCAATGACATTTTCAAAGTAGACACACAACATTTTTGGCCTCAACTTTTGACAACAATTTGGGATTTGCTGTTACTTTTTTACCCAATTAAAAACGCTTACAGCCGAGCGGTGACTAAAAAGACCAAAGCAAAAATGTAGCAAAAACAAAAAAAAAAAAGAAATAAAAATAAAAAGCTACAAAGAGCTCATTAGCTTGCCTTATCATTAACAGTTTTTCGCTTGCCTTATGTTGTGCGCTGGTTCTTCATTCAGCTTTAGAGCGCTTACAAAGCATCAGCGTGATTTTATGAAAATTTTGGTTCGCTATTCGACGTTGCTTGACGCGATTGTTGCTCGGTTGAATGAGACGTTGGTAGGCAGAGCGACTGCTGGTGCACGCACTGGTGCACAAATCCACCCAAATGCAAACGCATTCATTCTAAGCTCGAAGCCATTGAAAACCGGCTTGTCATAGTTGCTAAACTTCAAACCACTTACTCAGCCTCTCAACGTACTACATATGTATGTACATATATGTATATATAAGTGTATGTGCGCGTATATTTGTGACTTTCATTCGATGATTGCTCGCTTTTCATTTATGTAGCGACATGTGATTTATCGTATAAAACTTAGCAGATGCAGGCGGATTTGTAGCGGCTGTATTAATTTATGCAAGAAATGGGTTGAACGGCGGATGTATGCGAGTGTGGGTGTGTGTGTTCTGTGGCATAAGCACGCTAGCCTCCGTTCTGTGCTAATTCGGGCTTTTGACTAACTGTAAAGATTTGTTTTGCTGACAGCCGCAAAATGCTCGCTTCAATGGCTCAGTGGTTGAATTGTCGACGACAGCGTATTTGAATGGACGACTAAATGGCTTGCTTGGATTGATTGTTCTCGGTTAGAAGAGTTGAGAATGTTTCATTTGTAATTTAGGCTTTTGTATAGTTTTGTTGGCCAGCAACAATGCAGCAACAATGCTGGTCGCAAATCAAGGATTCGCTCCATTTCGCATTAGTAACCACAATGATTTTCCAAGCAGCAAGCTCTAAATAAATGAACCGCAAATGGAAGGATTTGGTTAAAATGCCGCTTTATATTGATTTACTTCAAACGCATTGTTTTACGATTGTGAGAGGTTCTATTGGCATTCGGCGTACCTGAATTATAAATTCATTACCGGCAACATACAGCACACAACAGTGCACAGGTGAGTAGATTGTGTGTATGTATATTACTTCTAAAATTCATATAAAATGTCAGTTTTATTTTTATAGGAGACGTGCTTTCTACTGCGTATAACGCTTCAAAATTCAAACAACTCGCCTAAAGCAATTCGAGTGATGTTCAGAATCCACGGCAGTGTGGAAGTGTTTCAATTTTCGATTACTTTGATTCTTTTCTGCAACCCACTGAGACATTAATGGTAATTTTCTGTCTCGATTTTGGAACTTTTAGATTTGAAAATGAAAAGTTGTACTGTATTCTCCCAAAATTTCAAGTTGATCCGATAATTACTTTTTGAGTTATTCGACCAATAACAAAGAGCGCTCGGGCACTTCAAAGCGCTCGGAGCTCTATGGTAAAACTTTAATGCGTTTGGAATTTGAAATTGAAAATGAGAAATTGGAGAGACTTCTCAGTTACAGGGTAACAAAAATTTCCAGTTATGTTAAAGCACCAGTAAATGAAACGAAATCGAGTCTCTAATTCTGAATTTAGATTATTTGGCTTCCAGTAAATATTATTTTTTTGCAGAAAATGTTTATTACCTTTAATAAAAGCTTTAAACAAGAGATACATATGCATGAGATTGGGTTTCAGTTTACACTAGAGATTAATCATATATACATACACATGTGTGCCTAACAGGGAATGAGAACATGATAATAAATGTATGTGCAACCAACACAACGCTTACAAAAAAAACTTTTTCAAGTTGGTTTTGTGTTTTCATTGGAACAACATACAACGCTCTTATTTGCCTATGAAAACAGAAAAACCCTTTGAGGCAAATAATTTCATTCTAAGCTTTAGTAGCTCGAAAATGTACTACAAGCATATCCCCAAGAAACAAACCCGAGTCTAAATAGCATTCCGATTTTACTTTTCCTTCAAACAGGCCAGCTTCATTTCATTTGGTGAACAACGATTTAATGCCCAAAGAGCCAGTAATTAATTTGTTTTGAGGAAGTCAACATCTTTCGCACTTGGAGATCCATTAACGTGTGTTGAAGTGCGTGTTTTTGTCGCACATAATAACATCAGTACATATGTATGTGTGCATGTGGCGCGCAAACACATATGCGAGTCAAGCAATTATGCCCAACTCTCGAGTGTAGAGTTATGACACAATGACTATCGCATAATTC